AATAATACTAAATGTTGTAAGATTTGTTACTTACAAACAGTTTTCTTGTTTACTGCATCATATATTTCACATATGACGAACATTTTGACAATTTTACTGATCGAAAACGAACGTATTTAAAATCTTGATCACTAGACGCTGTAAACCTCAGTCTGATTTTTATGCGTTCGTCCGCGAATATTCAACTACGATTTTCGGACGAATTTTCATCCACAGACGTCTGCGAAATGAACAATTTTTTTTTTATGAAAATAAATTATTTTGGAGCGGAAAGATTTTGATACGGGCGGGCGAGGATGAGAGTCTAAAAATTAATTTTCTGTGGCCTAATGTGTTAAGTTTCCCTGCCTAGTAAGAAAATAATGTTTATACAACAGATAATCAAAAGGTCCAATTTTCTCAGGATGAATAAGTATAACTAACGGCTAGTGTTGCATCTAGAATTTCAAAATTATGGGGGATTGTCCCCCACACAATTGAAAAATGTGGGGGATTTGAAAAAGATGTGGGGGACATACATTTACCTTACAATATGACATACCGAATAGAGTTCATTTATTTTACATTCAGGCATTTTTGACAGCTATCGTCCGCTCAAAAATGGAAGTTAAGAAAAAATAAAATATTGACGAATACTACAAAACACACGCGAGATGACTTAGTCGGCTGCTACACGCGATTTAGTACATATTTTAGTAATAACCACGAGTGAAAACAAACATGGCTGAAGCGTTTAAGATAAGATAGAGATAAACTGAATTAAGTTGAAAAGATGGTCAGATGCGCGACTTGGCGCGCACTGACTTCAATAAAATGCGCGATCTGCATAAAAAATGCGCAAATCGCGCAATCGCGCGTCCTAGATGCAACACTGAACTAATGTTTCAACTATTCTCTATTTTAAGTAAATTTGTTGGAAAAAAATCTTTAAAAGTGATCTCAGGAAACAGTTTTTATGAACAGACAGACTGAAGGAGACTCTTAAGTTATTTTTTTTAAACATCCCTGTTACCAAAATATAACATATTCTAATACAAAATTCTTAAAGAGGAGATAACTCTTAAAAATAACAATGCTAGATTTATGAACATTGATGCGAGTTTTACTGAAGTTTAAAGATACCATTTATAGTCACAAAGAAGATAAGTTAAAAAAAATTTTTTTCAAATATAACATTAACTATAATGTATAGTAAGTAACAAAGATGAAAATTAAAAACAAAAATATAATGTAGGTGTTGATAATGAATGTTTATTTTGAATTTGAAGAAAATCCATGAAGAAATAAGAAAGTTAAAGAATGAATCAGAAAAATTCAAAGTTTAAGGAGGAGATAATTCTGGAAATATGGATCTAGATTTATTAACCTTGTCATATTATTATGATGTGGGATTTTAAAGTAAATCCTATACGGAATGAAGAAGTTGGAGTAAAAAATACCAATTTCTCGAAAAAAATCTAAGTTCAAGGGGGACATAATTCTAGATATAGTCTTGCTAGAGTATTTAACCTGCTCACAAATGTTGAGTGATAATAAGAAACATATATATGACGTTTCAAGTAGATACATTTATAGCAACCAGAATTTTCAACATAGGAAGAAAAGAAAAAGATGTGCATAATTTCCAGACTGTCATCTACCCATATTTCAAATTTCATAAAAATATTTTCAGTACTTTTTGAGTTATCACTTGATCCAGTTTATGTGTAAAATTTGCCATATTTTCAGTCTATTTGTTGCCATAGCAACCAGAATTTTCAACAAAGGAAGAAAAGAAAAGGAAGTGCATAATCTCCATACTGCCATTTATCCAGATATCAAGTTTCATAAAAATATTTTCAGTACTTTTTGTGTTATCGCGGGATCCAGTTTTGTGGACAGACAGATTGACAGACAGACGGACGGAGGGTAAACCTAAAGTCCCCTACGATTAGACCGGTAGGGGACTGATTAACAATATTTGATGTATTTGACAGTAGCAAGATGACACGTAAATAATCAGTAGTCGTATATCAATTTGCACCATATATAAGAGTCTTGGGGTAGTCCTGATACTAAAAATGTGTATATATCTGGGGTGGTCTATTTACCCCTATACACCCCAAGACTAATCTGGGACAGAAATATACGCATTTTTAGTCAAAGGACTACCCCAAATAACTTATATATTGTGTAAATTGGGAAAGTCTTATAACTGATTATTTACCTGTCATCTTGAACATTACTGTTCAATACATCAAATATTGTCAATTATGTCAGGGTTCTCACTAGGACTTTAAAACATGGAGTCCATGGACTCCCAACCCTGAAAAAGTTGGAGTCCAAAAGCGCGTCACAATTAATATGTTTACAGATTAGTCATTCAATGCTCACAATAGCATTGCTGATATTTTGAATATTCAAGAAACTTCCAAAGTTTATAGTTATTCAAAAAAAACTGAACTACATAGTATAATTATTGTTCTGTTGTTAATATTTATTATGAAATTATTTCATTATAATGCATCAACACACGGAAATCGTTTTTTTGTTGTTTTTTTTTCACTTTTATACCAAATCAAATTTTATTCTGGTTAAATAAGTCCACTCTAAAGACAAAAAGTTTATATTTGTAAAAAAACTTAAATATATATAGGCAGCGTTTAGCGGAATGAATAGGAAAATCGTGTATAGCTTCACACAGTGTGTAAGAGATTCATCCGATCGACAATTATTTTAGCAAATATCTCCAAAAGGGGGCAAATTGAAGATCGATATTTAAAGATTTAATGTTGATTAAATAATAAAGGAACAATTCATTCGCATGTTTGGCTTGGAAACCGAGAATTTTTGCGAAATTTTAGGGTTTCTGGCGAACGTGAAATCGCCGATGTTCGGGATCAGTTTTCGGATAGAATCTAAATATCAAAGAAAAGCGTATGTGTATTTTGGTTTGTTGTCCTGGCATTTCAGCACAATATCTTAATACTCTTATAGAAAGTTTTTGCAAAATGAAACTAAAGCAAAATTGTGCCTAGAAAATGCCGAAAATATTCGACAATCATTCAAAATTACACTCATTTGTAATTTGAGAAAACAGTCTTTAAACTTGCGGCATAAATAGTCGATAATTTTATCCTTTTGTCGGTAAAATTTGCTTATTTCCAATCAACTGTTGATCAAAGATATAAAATTATCACCGCGTGTTATATCTGGTAATTACATGCATGTACTGTACAGCGCGTGTATACATTAGTTTGATCACTATTGCGTGATAATGATCGGAAGCGTTTTCGCTGATTGGCTAATCGCTTCACAGGTCGATGTGCATAGGACCGCCTACCTATAGACTGACATGCGCAGACGCATTTGTGGTTGTAAACAATCGGTAATGTTTATGCGTCCCCAGGCAAAATTAAGCGTACATGGAATCCTTGCTCTGAAATATTTGCGTCCAGCTGTAATAAACATGCGTACCGGGACGCCGAAATAAGCTTCCCCGAGAACCCTGTATGTATGGGTATACTTTTCATCAATAAAATATTTAAAATATATGAAAAAAATATCGTGATTTAGATAAATTTTACTGAAACAATAAGACTATGTTAATCTAACGAAATGTGGGGCAGGTGAAATAAAAATATATATATACACCCCGCAATCTGGGACTTGGAGTTATTTCATTGTTGTTAACTATTTTGCACAAAAAAGAATATATTTATAATCTTACAGGGAAATAAATGAAGGGAGATAATTCAATGTGTACATGTGAAATCGCATAGTTACCCCCGTAAACAAAGTAAAATGAAAAAAAATACATGTCAGTGAAAGTGTCTTGTCTTGGGGTGGTCTTGTGGTGTCTTGGCGTAGTCTTGGGGTAGTCTAGGGGTGTCTTGGGGTATCTTAGGGTAGTCTTGGGATAGTCTATGGTAGTCTTCGGGTATCATGGGGTGTCTTGGGGTAAATAGACCGACCGATATTTCTGTCCCAGAGTAGTCTTGGGGTAAATAGACCGACCCATTTTAGTGTATTATAGTGATATGGAATCAGAGATGAATTTTGTTTCTTTGGTAAATGCAAGTTATATCATAATATGTATCAGCATAAAGATGAACTAAAAAGAGAACAGATGCTATTCTAAATGTTCATGAATTAAAAATCAAAAAATCTTTTTTTCCCACTGCCTCAAACCTTAGCTTTTTTTGGATAAAAAAATGGTAAACTGAAAGATAAAAAATAACTTAATAATGTTAAAAAGTATGTTAAATGCTTATTACATGAAGAAAATACAGCTGAATGTGCAATTATTTGTCATAAAACGAGCAAAATATAAAAAAAAGTAGTATTTTGATTTCAATACTTAATAACTATAGCTGTACAGCAACAGAAGCAAAATATTGTTCAGCTAATTGGCATGAGTAACTTTTTGGAAACTAAGTAAAAATAAAGCTTTCAAGAAATAAAAATAAAAGCATTTCTGGGCCATAATGGGCCTTTAAGCTTTTATAAGTTATGTGGACAAAAAATGCAAGAGTGGGACTGGGTGACAAATGTCCATACAGTATACATAATACTGTAATATACTAGGAATATTAATTTGCACAACATACTGTATAAAACATAATAAATGTCAATAATCTTGCTTATAATGATGTTGGTGCTTACAAAGACTTAAATTAACGAAAATATTGTGCAAATTTTCATGCCAATGGATAGACATATCAATTTTAACTTTTTGAACAAATACTATAATTTAAGCTTTGTGTCAAGAAAAGATTCCATGTCAAATTCTTTAATCCTATCAAATTGATTTTTCACTGAAAAAAGAAATAAAAAATTATGTAACCACAACTTCATACTGTATTTTTGGATATGTCAAATAAAATTTAAATTAAGCGACACAAATCTGCTTGAATATGTTTTCATAATTTGCGAGGCATTTCGCTTAAAATGAAAAAAAAACAAAAAAAACTGCAAAAATTCTCCTTTAATGCCTACAGAACTAATAAATTAAATCAAACCTCCTCTTGGAATTTCCAGCTCGAAGTAGTCTTTAAAAGGGTCAAAACAATCCATCGTGTGTACGTGTCAACTAGGCAGAATCTCAGCAGAGACTGATGTTGCGGAAGATCCGACCTGGCCAAATCCATTCTCAAAAAGGGCAAAAAGAGAAAAGTTTAACAAAATCTAAATTCAAACGCAAAATATTTGTTGCTTTCCCTCTCGGTTTTTTAAAAATAATATTTTAGAACTTGATGATTCCGAACAGTGAAAAAAATGCTAAAATCAAGTTTAAATATGTCACACCTCCTAGACTTCGAAATGGAACAGTCCGTTTACGCGCGGGAAAATCAACATCAAACGAGTTGTCGGCGGCCTTTGATGTAAGTTGGGGTTGCATCGGGCATCACTGGAACAAACGCGGGAAAGTCTGATTTCTTTGTTATTTATCACTTTTGCGAGTTTAGGGAAGAAAAATAAAATGTTTTTAAAAAGAATGCAAGTCACAATTTAATAATTAAATGAAGTCGTATTTGAGTGATTATTATGTTTATAGAAAAATTAAAATAGGATAAATAGGATGTAAAGTCGTCTTAGAAAAATCAGATTTCCCAGAGTTGATACATGCAATGTAAATCAATCGTTTTTTCCCTTAAAAAATGTAATCTTATGAGACACAAAAAGTGTCGTGCAAAAGTCCTACAGTACATGTTGACCAAACAAAACTTTTTCGTGACCATTGACTACATGGTCAGGGGAATAAAATGCAATAATCTAATTATGACATGATGAATAATGATGTTAAGAAAAAATCTTAAAGAACAAACAATTTTCATTTAGTAAGTACAGAACAAATTGCAATTAATCTACGCAACGCCAGGGGAGGTTACTAAAATGTTTCATCACAGAAAAGAACTTTTCACGGTGCACCGTCATCTTCTGAAAATATAATTTTTGTGGGTGTTTCGCAGGTACGTAATATATTTATGGTTTTCCAAGCATATAGTTATTGTCATTCACTTACTGCAACATATATGATAAATTGAAAGTATATATTTGCACAAAATATAAACGGTATTTGTTTTCTTTAATACCTTAACGGGACAAAGTCAAGGAAATATTTGTATTGGTTCTTTATCTTACATCTGTTTCAACAGGTCTAGGATTTCATGATATTTATGGACTGTCAGTAAATTTATGGATAGTCTATAAATTTAAAGATTTTTCAGTCCATAAATTCACAGACACTTGGGGTTTGGAGCTCAAAACGCCTTTAAAATCCAAATAAAATGCATATTTGTCAATCCCAGCACATGTACTGATCATATATATCAAAAAAACTTAATATAAGCCGTTTTGAAAAAAAATCATATTTCAACATCTATAATAATACGTGTATTATTATAGTTGTTGAAATATGATTTTGTTTCAAAACGGCATATATTAAGTTTTTTTGATATATATAATCAGTACATGTCCTGGGATTGACAAATATGCATTATATTTGGATTTTAAAGGCGTTTTGAGCTCCAAACCCCAAGTATCTGTGCATAAATTTACAGATCCTCAATGTTAAATTTGCTGTTTTTAGTTTTATACTAAAATCCGCAGCTTAAAACAAGTTGTTATATTGATTGCTTCTATTAACAAAGGTAGTGAGAAAAGTTTCATCTTTGTATGATGACTGGGTTTGAAATTTTTGTTAAAAGTGAAAATTGAAAGTCATCAAATTGTTCTGAATCTTATCATACTGTTACATTTAATCATATAATCAGTAAATTTATTCTTATTAAACTGCGGTTTTTAATTTTAATACAACTTATACTCTTTTCGCATTTAATGTCTATAAATTTACAGATAGAAAAATCTGTAAAATTATAGATGGTCCATAAATTTACAGACTGTCCGTAAATATCATGAAATCCTAGACCTGTTCAATGTCAATATGTAGTCCAACTAATTGTACTGCGCGACGAGATATTGTGTTATTTTCGTGTCTGGGCAATATCTCGCCTCTACATTAAAGCGAGATTCTGCCCCAAAACGAAAATATCTGAGAATCAAGCTTTGGCATGTCAATATATTTTGATTATGTCATTATGGAGGTAAGAATTTGACCAGCTAGGATAGAAAAAGAAAGTACTTGAATTTTAAGCCTTTTTGTGGTGGGAATGGATGCATAAATTATTCTATTCAATGTATATACATGTAATTGGTTTGGGCTAAAATGACTAATTTCTGAATCACATAAGTGGAGGGAATGATCTGTCACTTCTGTGTTTTTATGTTAAAATAGAATTTATTGGTGTAAAGGCATTTTCGGAAAATAATTTACCACTTCTTTGTGCCTTAAGAATGGCACTTTTTCAAGGAATATGCTATTTTCATGTAGAATACCCCACCATTCACTGAAGATGGGACTTTTGGATTGTCTTAAGTATGCAGCTAAATGCTAATAAATATGCTGAAGTATTTGATTACAGAATTAAGCGATGTCTGGCAAGAAATTGTTGAACACGGTTGAGAAGTGTGTTGATGAGAATTTGGAGGGTCTTGTAACAATTAACCCTGGTTTGAGACTTATTAAGGATTCTAGGGTTGTAGTAAGAGCTGACATAGAAAGTGTGAAGACAGCTGGAAAAGTTGCTCTACTATGTGGGGGAGGATCTGGTCACGAGCCTGCACATGCTGGTAAATACATCTATTTGTATACAAAGTTATAATAATATAAAATGACTTTTTTTAATTCTCAAATATAATATGACTGTTTTTGATTCTCAAAGGCACATTAAAAAGCATTTCTAAAGCGTAACAGGCCTTTAAATTATATTTATATGCTGTGAATGTCATCAACTTTATATGTTATTTTACTTTAAGGAAAGTTCTTATATCCTTTTTATTAGCTTTGATTCATTAATAGGACCGGGACCATAGCAAAATTTCCATCTGATTATTTGTACTTACATCTGATTCTGGCTTTCATTTTCACTTTATGTTGGGTTTTTTTCCTGATAATACCCATCAGTGATTTTACCTTTGTTTATATAGGATATGTTGGAAGTGGAATGCTGAGTTGTGCTGTAGCAGGCTCTGTTTTTACATCACCTCCACCCCAGGATATACTCACTGGCCTTAGAATGATAACCAAAAATAATCCAGGTATATAATATTTCATAATTTAAGTTTTAATACAGTTTGTATGGAAGTTATATATCTGTATTTCCTTGGATGAGGGTAAACTAAAATTATGTCTGTCATGTGTACTGTTCAGATGTGCACATGCTATGGATCAAGAAAACTTGTTGTTTTAGGGTAAAAATAAATGCTTATATGTAACATATACACTAAGTGCTATTTTGGAGGCTTTCAAAACAGAAATTGTGTGTTGTCTGACACAAAAAAGTGATACTCATATATAACTCAAAAGATGTGATGTCTGACACAAACGATGTGTTGTACATGTATTATTGTATAACACATCAGGTGCAAAGATTAGTTGTGTAACACAAAAGATGAGTCGTCTAGCAAAGATGTGATGTCTTATTCAAAAGATATGATGTCAGTTTCAGAATATTATAAAGTAAATTGTACACAATGCTCAATTTTATGCTCACTTAAATGTTTTTGGTAAACAAAATAATAGTTAACAGGTTTGTCCTTCTATACTCCATTAACAATTGCATACTTTCTCATAAAGCATTTTCTAATAATGACCAATTAATGTGACAATTATATGTTACCTGGCATGAACTATTTTGTGGGGTGTTAAGCCAGTTGGATCAATATCAAGGCCACTGAGGTTAAGATATGTTTTCCTCCTTTTCAGCATATCTTAGATGTTTGGTATATAGATTCCTTGCAAGAACATTTACATTTAGATAGGGCAGAGTTTGATTGGGTTATGGTCATGGTCAGTGAGACTAAAAATAGTTGTTTTTTTTCTACTTTTTCTCATAAAACCTTCATTTTAACAAAATCTTACTTTTTTTATCTGGGACTGTTTGAATTTAATGAAAGATCCTGGCCTTGTCCTTACCGCCAAAGAAAAGAATCAAAGCTGCATATTAAAGGGACTCCACTGAGATTTTTTGACATGATGGAACTAGAAATAATTTTACTTGATTAATGTTCCATAGACCAATAACTTCTATGCAAAATTTCAGATCATTTGCTCACATCTTTTTTCCAGAGTAATTATTATAATTGTGAACATGTGTAAAATGACCCAAAATTGAAAAGCATCTTGTGATGAGTAAAACAGGTAATTTCTGTTTAAAGTAACTTCCTCAGGCTAGGTTAAATCACTTAATTTGAACATTTTGGATGAGTCAACACATCTTGACCCCCCTATTTGTGTAATTACTAAGAACTTGTGATATGTTGTATTATCATAATGCTGTATATAGATATGTTTTAGATTTATTATGCTTTTCAAGGTGGATGTTTAGTAATGGTTCCTAACTACACTGGGGACAGGCTGAATTTTGGGATAGGTATGGAGCGGGGAAAGCATGAAGGTTTGAAAATATCTGCTGTAACAATTGGAGAGGACTGTGCAACATCATCTCAAGATAAATCAGCAGGGAGGCGGGGTCTTTGTGGAATGTTCTTGCTTATTAAGGTGAAAAGAGCTAGATTGTAACGTTCCCTCAAGAAGCATGAATCCTCCATTTATACGGAAAATGTCTAGTGCCATACTGGTGGTGGCCTATAACCTAGTTTTACCATCTTGGCTAAAGTATAGTGTACCTTACCACATTTTCCTTCAAGTGGGTAAAGAAAAATAATGAAACATGCTTTCCCTTAACCTGCTGTCCTTTATTCTGTCCACTTAGAATTTCATTTAATACTGAATCATTGTCTTATATTAACTCTGTCAACCTTGTATTTTACCATGAAATAATCCATTTAATACATCACTGGGATGTCAGCTGTACCTTGAATGTATTGAAAATAGAACTATTTTTCTCTCATAGCGGGAACTCTTGTAATCATTAAAAATTATACCGGGGATCGGATCAACTTTGGTTTAGCTCTAGAGCGAGCAAAGGCTGAGGGAATGTCATGTGACATTGTTGTGGTGGGAGAAGACTCGGCTCTAACATCACATGATAAAACAGCTGGTAGAAGGGGACTTGGTGGTACTGTATTTATACATAAGGTTAGTCATATAGAGTGAACCGTTCCCCTTTATGCTAGCTGTAATGTTTTCCCTACCAGTTTGCTTGTCCCTACCTTAGCCTTGCTAGTCAATTCTACATTACTTGTGTCTTTTTAAGTGTCATACTTTGTATGTGAGCATAAGATAAATTTACAATATTAAGATGATAGTTTTATTTGCATACAGGTTTGAGGTTAAAGTAATTTGATTAAGATATAAATAGATAAAGTGCCAATTTTGTTAGATGACATGAAACTTTAAATTTCAGAGGAGATAAAACTCAATAGAACACAAAATTAAAATCATTGAGATAATATGAATAAATGGTATATGTTGGAAACTTTATGTATATTTGAAATCAAGGGGAAATGAGATAATATACCATTACTGCTATTTTAAAGTTAAGATCAAAATTAAAAAATAAAGATTTCGGTGTCAATATCATGTTTGTTATGTATTTGTATGCCCCTACCATGAAATGTATGGAGGGCGTTCGTTGCCAAAATTCCAGACATGTAAAGTGTTCCTTTGAAAATGCTAGCATTTTTGATTGCATTCGTGTACAGCAAATAATATGCCTCTTAATCCAATCTTTTAATTGAAAGCGCCAGCTTTTAAATAACAAGTTTAATTGTAGATAACTGACTTAACATGGAAAACAGCAATAAATTTACAAGTTCGTATCTTCCATTGCATATAATACATAAGCATGTTTGCACACTTATAGTCTGAGATATATAAATAAAATGTAAAACTCGAACCCAGAAAATAGACTTTAAGAAAACGTGTTTCCAGTTGTAGAACTACAAGAGTACGTTTACACAGTAACATGTTTAAAATCACAAAAGTAGATTTACAAAGTTAAACGATTTTAAGTCATGCATGACGCCCCGCCCCTCTTTGGGTATTTGGAAACTTCTGTTACGGAACTGTTACGGAAATGTACGGACATGTATAAAACCCGGCGCTTCTCTCCTATTTCTCAAAATAAGTGAAGGAACACACGGCGTCCCTTCTAACTTTTTCATTTTTATAAAAAATAAATAATTTTGGTATCAAATGAAAGATCCATAAGCTTTCTATTTGTTACAAAATTTATCATTTTTTCCTCTGAAAATCACACTCTCAAATTCGGTAAGAAAAACACGGCGTCCCCTCCAAACTTTTCCTTTTAATTTTGTAATCAATTTTGATAATTTTGGATTGAAATAAAACTGTGCTTCATAAGTGTTAAGTCTATAATTATATAATGCATAAAAATAAAAATGAATTAAGGAGAAGTATTAAAATTTTCTTTTTAAAGTTTACCATGTTACTTTCTGAAAACCACACTCTGAAATTCAGTAGGAAAAACACGGCACCCCCTACTTACTATTTCATTTTCTAGATCAATTTTAAAATGTTGGTGTCAAATAAAAGAATCCTTTATGAACTGTCTAGTGATGCCTTAAAAAATAAAATTACGTAGAAGTATTAAACAATTTTGTTTCAAATTTATCGTTGTTTTTTTTCTCTCTCTCCTTTAAAACTACACTCATATATTCGTCAAGAAAATCAATTAGATACTTTATAAATTAATCAATTTTCAAAATAGAAAATGAACATAAAATGAAAGTTAGCACCATAAGCTTCAAGTATATTAAAAAAGTATTTATTAACACTGAACATACCTTATTTAAGATTGTACATATGTGCTTTAGATAAGTACCTTCTTGATTTCGGAAAGAAAATCTCGGTGACCGCTTTAAAATCCTATTTTTCAAATACTCACATAGTTTTTGTTTCAAATGAAATTTGTGCCAATATTAGATTATGAATAAAATTACTCGCTTGTTTTTCGTCCAAAATTTCCAAATCGCCGATGTTTCTCAGAAAAACACGAGGTTTAATAAAAAGTTAGTGCATAAGTTATCTTAATCATTTTGTATTAAATAAATGGTAAAATCAGCAATTTTCAAGTGATGTAGCTAGTGAAAAATTTTTTGTAACTAATGCAACAAAAATATGTTGGAAGAATGCGGCGTGTTTTCCTTCAGGTTTATTTAGAAAAGAGGTGAGACGCCGGGTTTTATACCTGTCCGCAAAAGTTCATAACTACTCAAAGATGGGCGGGGCGTCATGCATGACTTAAAATCGTTTAACCTTGTTTATCTACTTTTGTCATTTTAAACATATTAGGGCCTTCTGTGTAAACTTACTCTTGTAGTTCTACAACTGGAACCATGCTTTCTTAAACTCTATTTTCAGTATTCGAGTTTTACATTTCATTTGTATATTTCAGGTACAGATAGATATATTTAAGTGTGCATAATTTGCATATGCATTGTATGCACTGGACGATACAAACTTGTAAGTTCGTTGTTGTTTTCCATGTTAGGTAAGTTGTTACGGTCTTTGTTACATAAAGGCGGGAACCTTCAATGAAAAGATTGGATTAACAGGCATACTATGTGCTATGCACGGGTACAATAAAAATGGTAGGCATACAAATTCGCATTCTCAAAAGTAATTTGTAAAAGGAATACTTTACATGTCTGGAATTTTGGCAAAAAACGCCCTCCATAGAAATGGGGTAGGGCAACTATCTTTTTTATACCCTGTCTTATAAATATATATGGAGTAAGCGAGTTAAACCCCTTTTTAACTTAGAATATTTATAAAAATTGGTTCACTATTTTGTTTTATTTTGCAAATTGAAGTTTTATGTTTTATTGTTTTAACTTTTGACTTTGAATAGCACTAGCAGAGAAATACATATTTCATTTGTAAACTGATCATATTGCATGCCATTCAAGATTTCACTTTCCATCAATACTTACTATACAATGTACATGACATTTTCCCTCATTATTGCTTTGCATATACATTTATGTTAAAACAGAAAGTTTGTATATTGACATGCTAGTTGATATGTATGCCTTTTGGTGCTTACAATTTTCTTACAGGTTAGTGCCTATGATCTCATATCTTCATCTGCCAACAGGTGCTAGGATAAACTTTTAAGTGATATAATATGTATGACAAGACCTGATGCTGGTTTATTGTGAAAAGGATATTTTAGGTGCAACATCTGAAGTTATGACAAACATGTACTATGTATTGAACATTGGTTGCTTTGAACATTGTGTTAGACTGTAAGAGATACTTAATTACTTATAGCAATGCTTTATATAGCCACCGCCAACCCAATCCGGCTCCTTAATTACTTGTATAATTTGAGCATTTCAAGGTGGTTTAGCTGGTATGAAAGTCATAGAAAGTAATAATATTAGATTAGTTCATTTAGTTCATGTAAATAAATGTTCTGATTTGTTCCACAATTTCTTCCTGGTATTTAGGTATATATACATGTGTATATATAGCCTATAGTAGTCAAAATGTTAAACATGCAATACTTAAATGTTGTTAATTTGAATTTTTAAGTAACAAATTTAACCATGATTTCAATTGATTATGAATGTCATGTAACCATTCTGTGCCATGGGAATTACTGTCAAATGTTATGTCATAATTGCCAAGACCCTTTGTGCCATTATTCAATTAGTGAACCGATTATCACCTTTTGACTCTACCTGTGTATTAACCTTTTAGTCTTACTATTCTAAATATAATGGGTTTTTACTTGCCATAGTGTTGGTTTTATATTTGGTTAATGTATTGCATGTAACTAGATCTCAATATCCACTAAAGTTTTAGTTCACTTGAAACTTCTCACATGTCTTTGCCTTTGGGATCATAGTCTCAATAACATCTTAACCTATCTTAGAATTTTTTCTTTGTGTAATTTAGTACATGGATATGATTTCACTAAATTTCACTTTTTCAGAATGTCATCTTTTCATGGTTTATATGAACAATTATAACCCTTGTTTAAGGTACAGGTGTTTGGCGTGTGATTGGTCACTACCCTCAAACCCCTCTATAACCCCCAATCTATCCTAAACAATCTAAATTGCAGTGATTTTTCATATTACATGCGTTTAAATATTATATACATATTATTGTGATTACATTTCTTTAATTAAATAAAAACAGTAAAACAAAACACATGAAAAAATGCTGCAGTTTAGTTGCAGGTAGTGACCAATCAAATTAGGCCAGACACTGGTACTTTAAAATAACAGTCAAGGAAGATCAAATCATATTGGTATGTTTCTATAAAAGCAGATTTTTGTTCAAGCATGTATGATTAATTCTTTAAAGATAACAACAACATTTAACTTTAAGTTAATTGCATATGTTATTGTTTTATAGATAGCAGGTGCACTGGCTGAAGAGGGTAAAAGTCTAGATGAGGTCACAAAGCTCTCTCAACAAGCAATTGATAATATGGGTAAGAACTTAAGTTACGTCATGAGATTTTCACATTATTACTATCCTTTCTTGTTCAAACCACCTGTAGTTTATATAGCCACCTACTGAAACAAAAGTCATATTGCATAGTGTCTCTATACTGAAAGTTTAGTTTAATCTAAGGTCAATCAAATGTTAGGCATGTCAACTGAATGTCTATTCAATGGAATTCTAGGTTAAGTTTGAACATATTTATTATAGCTGGATTATGAAGACAATCTGTAGATTTTATATAAATTAACAAGTACATTTACTGATGTTATATACTAGTAAAGAAGCATGGGTTACATTTCTTATGTTAACAGGCAGTTACCTTAATAACTATGCCACCTGTCTCCTGTATTTATTATTTGCCTTATTGATTCAGTGGTTATTTATATTTTCACTTATTGATTCCTGTATAGTATATTCTCTTGGAAGATTAATGTTAACAAACCTTTTAATTTTCGTAACCCATGTTTTCATTGGCAGTTCAGTTTGTTGTTTCTTTCATGTTATCCAGTGAGGTTTTCAGTTGAAATAAACACACCTTGATTTTCTTGATATATGAGACTATAAATGTATTATAGACATGTTAACATTGATATATTACAGGTACAATAGGGTTAGCTCTAGGAGCATGCTCAACACCTGGATCTAGTGGTCCTCTATTTACTGTCCAGTCAGATGAGATGGAGCTTGGACTAGGTTAGTGTTTTACAAATGAATATTAAGTCTTGAAATGCCAACAATATAAAGCCAGGCCAGTCTACATTTTCAGTGTGACTTGCATCTTTACCATTGTTCAAATTTTGCATTTTGATATTGAAGTCCTTCAGTCATGAGAAAAGTATGTTGTATAAATTCAGCAGGTTAAGGGAGATACAATTCATTAATCTAGTTGTGACACTGGAAATATTTCAGGCTAATGTAGCTGTAAATATGGCAAGCCTTTTTAACGCCCATTGGGTAGGGTAGTTACCCTTAGGACGAATATTATGATCCAAACTGCAACTCATGACAAATACTTTAAATCTGATTTTAATGGTTTAGGAGAAGTATAATGACAAGATTTTTTTGATATTTTCAGGGCTACATGGTGAAGCGGGAGTCAAAAGGATCAAAGTAAGTAAAACAAATACCACCAGAGTATCCCTTATTTCAGCTATATTTGCCAATGAGTTTGTAATGTAGAGTGTAGGTAAAGTAATGGATAACAGAATATTGATAAAATAATAAGAAGTTTCTGGTTATATTATGATCAGAATCATTTATTTTCTGTTGAATACATACATACATAATCATACAAATATAAAGTCATACTGGTACATACAACTCTTTATCATGCTAAATATTAAACCAGTAATATCCCTATTTCACATTTGGGCAAAACCATTCATCATTTTATGGAAAACTTCATATACTGACCGAATAGTATGATACAGTAAATGTGTATAATATTATTGTTTATAGTTAATGACTTCGAAGGAGACTGTGAAGGTAATGATAGATCATATGAGAAATCCTGAAAACAGCACACATCTTCCTATCAAAACAGGTATGTTTTACTGTTTATGCAAGTTTGAAATAGGTTAATGGTATATATTGTAAGATGGGACAAAAAACAATTATTTTCTGGCATTTGAATCATTTTATCAAATGTAACTTGATGTTAAATATGTTAGAGATAAATAAAGTGCCATTATCTGAACATACTGATATTTATTTGATGTTGGAACATTAAATGCTAATTTGATATATTTGGGTAAAGCAATATTCGATATAGAAACTATTGGTACTGTGTATTTAGCAATAACATAAGATTGAAGTGTTTAATGAAATTCATATATCAGTAAATGGACATTTATGCACAGTTGACAGGGTAGCATGTAATAGTAATTGAACATAGATATATACAGGAGACAGTGCACTATATACATGTTTAAGTAAAAAAAACAAAAAAAAAACATTGTTTTTTATAATTATATACAGGTGACAGGGTAGCATGTATGATCAATAACCTAGGAGGTATGTCAGTATTAGAGATGAATGTGATTGCCAAGGACACCATCCAGTATCTAGGTAAATTGTCATCATTTGTTGTTTTACTCACTTGTTTACATTTAGAGAAATTTGAACACATCACGCTATGGATATATGATACAATAATTGATTCCTTTAATGTAAAGTGCTTGTCAAGTCCAAATGAGAAAAAAAGGTGTTGACATGATGTAAGGTCCTGCTTAAAACATGCAGTGATATATGGTAGAACAAGACTTTATCAGTTGGAATTACCTCTGATCAGATTTAGAGGGTCTCTGTTGGACAGTGATTAAGATCTCTAACTTTGAATTTCTTGCATCTCATAGATGTGGGTTAGAATCCTGTCAGTGCCTGGAAAGTTGCAACAGAACCTCTTTAGCATCTTTATAGTAGCAACTTGAATTCGGACAAACAGACACTTATCTCATTTCAAAGGGAAGAAACTCTTGGAGCTATGATTCTTGATAGAAGACAAGAGTTGTCCCTTTTAAGTTCAGAGTGCCTGTCAACATCATTAGTCATTAGGACATTATACTTTGGTACAATAATTTCAGCAAGTAAAGTTGTTCTGTTACTTTATGTAATAATGTTACTTATATGATATCATTTCTGACATTGAAAAATATTATAATGGGTTTTATCTTTGTATTTTACAGAGGGTGATCTTGGCTTGAAAGTTGACAGGGCATATTGTAGTACATATGTAACATCATTAGAGATGGCCGGTATCTCTATATCATTGCTACATCTTAATGATACATTTACAAGATGTTTAGGTATGTAATCATAATAGAGTTTAAGTGGATCTTGAACTTTTATTTGACTCCAGTGTAACCGACATTGAGTAACATTAAACTATCCAGCTTAATGAATTTTAAAAACAGATCTTTCTTTATTCTTAATGTTGTATTTTCATCTAAATAAGATTTCTGACCAGGTTTTGCAGTTGAAAAGAGCTAATTTTGAATATGTGTGGAGGATTTAATAAATGAGTTATCATGGCTGTTTCGTGCCATGTCATATTTTTGCTCTGAGAAGTACTAGGCAATAACTTGATAATACGACAAAGTCACCACCTTTGTTGTGTTTCTATCTTTCACATTGCGGGACAAGAAAAAAACATAAAAATACAGCAAAGTGATAACTTTGTCTTATTTTCGCCCTATTGGCCGCCATGGGAAAATACAACAATGTCACCACTTTGTCATACCCTCATTATGGGCTCATGTCATCTGGCGTCCTGCGAAGCGAAAACATGACAAAGTAGTCTTTGGTGCTTCACAGAACGAAAATATAACATATCACAAATCAGCCACCATATTGAGTAGATATTATCATATAACCTAATTGAATATAAGGGAATATTCTCCATTTTTACAGATGCACCAACTACAGCTCCAGCATGGTTGGTGCCATTGCTAGGACCAGGACAGACAGACAGACAAACACCAGAACCAATGACACCTATAGGTGGACCAAATGCTGAAGGACAACAAATCAAAGGGGCTAGTATTTCTAAAGGTCAGTTCAAACACTTGTTATCTATGGTTGATACAAGTGCCTTTTAGAGTTTTAGTGTTTAGTGTCAATTTGATATTTATTTCACACAAAAAAAGATGAAGAGCTAAATGTGTATTGTACAGACTTAAATTGAATTAAAGCGCGCTAATGATAGCGTTACACTATAGGCGTATAAATGAAAAATGACTCTTTTTAACAGTTTACAGTTCTTATTATATATATGTAATAAATAGAATATTATATTCTTGTAGATTCAATACAAAATTAATTGAACAGTCATTCAGTATCCTCTACAGTCAAACGTGTATTAAGCGACCGCGCAAGGGAAACGCCCAAAACTGTCGCTTAATGAAACGGTCTCTTAAGACAGTCAGCATGATATAAAAGTCAAAATTTATAAATAACATCTTTCTTATGCGGTGGTAATGTTCTTCAACTTCATTTTTATATAAATGTCGAATAATTAGTACGCTCCGATAATCTAAATGGATGCAAATGTAAAAAATAACTTTCTGATATTTATTAACAAAACAGTTTTGATCCATTACTGAATGTTTGACATTTTTTCCAGAATTTTTTAACTTCTCCGTTGTTTTTCCTTGTCTCCAACACGAAAACCCTATTAATGAAGATGTTTTCTGTTGTGCATTTTTAGCTCACCTGTCACAAAGTGACAGGGTGAGCTTTTGTGATCGCTTTTCGTCCGGCGTCCGTCCGTCCGTAAACTTTTACTTTAAATGACATCTCCTCATAAACCACTAAGCCAATTTCATCCAAACTTCACAGGAATGTTCCTTTGGTGGTCACCTTTAAAAATTGTTCAAAGAATTTAATTCCATGCAGAACTCTGGTTGCCATGGCAACCGAAAGAAAAAAACTTTAAATATCTTCTTTTAAAAAACCATAAGAGCTAGAGCTTAGATATTTGGCATGAAACATCTTCTAGTGAGTGTCTACCAAGATTGTTCAAATAAAAGCCCTGGGGTCAAAATTGGCCCCGCCCCGGGGGGTCATTGATTTTCCCTATATGCATATAGTAAAAACTTAAAAAATCTTTTAAAGAACTCAAAGAGCTATGGCTAAGATATTGAGCATCAAACATGTTCTAATAGGTGTCTACCAAGTTTGTTCAAATAAAAGCCCTGGGGTCAAAATTGGCCCCGCCCCAGGGGGTCATTGATTTTCCCTATATGCATATAGTAAAAACTTAAAAAATCTTCTTTTAAAGAACTAAAAGAGTTAGAGCTAAGATATTTAGCATGAAACATGTTCTAATAAGTGTCTACCAAATTTGTTCAAATAAAAGCCCTGGGGTCAAAATTGGCCCCGCCCTGGGGGGTCATTGATTTTCCCTATATGCATATAGTAAAAACTTAAAAAATCTTCTTTTAAAGAACTCAAAGAGCTATGGCTAAGATATTTAGCATCAAACATGTTCTAATAGGTGTCTACCAAGTTTGTTCAAATAAAAGCCCTGGGGTTAAAATTGGCACCGCCCCGGGGGTCATTGATTTTCCTTATATGTGTATAGCAAAAACTTAAAAAATCTTCTTTGAAAAAACCCAAATAGCTAGAGTTAAGATATTAAACATGAAACATCTTTTAGTGAGTGTCTACAAAGTTTGTTCAAATAAAAGACCTGGGGTCAAAATTTGCCCCGCCCTGGGGGTCATTGATTTTCTTTATATGTGTATAGCAAAAACTTAAAAAATCTTCTTTGAAAAAACCCAAATAGCTAGAGTTTAGATATTAAGCATGAAACATCTTCTAGTAAGTGTCTACAAAGTTTGTTCAAATAAAAGCCCTGGCCCGGCCCCAGGGGTGTCATTGTTTTTAACTATATGTGTATAGTAAAAACTTTAAAAAAATCTTCTTTTAAAAAGCCCAATGAGCTAGAGCTTAGATGTTTAGCATGGAACATCTTCTTATGGGTGTCTACCAAGTTTGTTTCATTTGAAATAAACAAACTACATCTAGTTGTTACGATTAATTTAATTCCTGATCAAGTTCAAGGTCAATTCAATGCAGTCTAAATGTCAACAAACGAAGTGTATACACCATCTCAGAAGGGGCGGAGCGTTGCATTGTTTATCAGATATTATTGGATAATACACGTCATGTGTATACTTGACTTCATTTGCATACGCTAAAACGGTTTGAGAAATAGAGTTTTTCAGATGAATATTTGTTGTGTTTTGATTGTTGACACTTGTGACATTACGAGGTGGCGTTCTCTAAAACACAATTACTTGACAGGTAAAAGTGGTTGTTTAATGAAAAGATTGATCTCATTTAGGTGACTAATTAGCGGTTGTGGTCGCGTTGAGCAAAAGTCGCTTAATACATTTAAGATATAGAGAGAAAATGATCGTAGAATTTAAAGTGGTCGTTTAAGACAAAAGTCGCTTAATACACTTGGTCGCATGGGCAAGTTAGACTGTATTTATATTACAGATGAAGGAGAAAGAATATATGATATGATATTGAAGGCATGTGTTTATATTACAGATGAAGGAGAAAGAATATATGATATGATATTGAAGGCATGTGTTTTATATTACAGATGAAGGTGAAATGATATATGATATGATAATGAAGGCACGTGTTTTATATTACAGATGAAGGAGATAGAATATATGATATGATAATGAAGGCATGTGTTTATATTACAGATGAAGGAGATAGAATATATGATATGATATTGAAGGCATGTGTTTATATTACAGATGAAGGAGATAGAATATATGATATGATAATGAAGGCATGTGTTTTATATTACAGATGAAGGAGATAGAATATATGATATGATATTGAAGGCACGTGTTTTATATTACAGATGAAGGAGATAGAATATATGATATGATATTGAAGGCATGTGTTTATATTACAGATGAAGGAGATAGAATATATGATATGATATTGAAGGCATGTGTTTATATTACAGATGAAGGAGATAGAATATATATGATATGATAATGAAGGCATGTGTTTTATATTACAGATGAAGGAGATAGAATATATATGATATGATAATGAAGGCATGTGTTTATATTACAGATGAAGGAGATAGAATATATGATATGATATTGAAGGCATGTGTTTATATTACAGATGAAGGAGATAGAATATATGATATGATATTGAAGGCATGTGTTTATATTACAGATGAAGGAGATAGAATATATGATATGATATTGAAGGCATGTGAGAGACTAGAGGCAGCTAAGGAGATGTTGGATGGACTAGACAGTGAGAGTGGAGATGGTGATTGTGGTTCTACAATGTCACGTGGTGCTCAATGTAAGTTACCCCTAGTGATCTCTTAACCCATTCTATGTAATACACTTGTACTGTTTTATATTAAGAACTTACCTGTGTGAAGTTAAAGTGACTGCTTGTTAGGGCAAGCTGATCTTGATTTTGTTACTAGCATAGGTTTGTCATGATTTTCAGAAATCTGATAGTTAATGTATTCACATTGAGGATTTGATCAATTTATTTTATGAAGAGTAACATCTGAGTCTTATTAGGTTGAGATTGAGCTTATTGATGTTTAATAATAAAAAAAGACTCCCAAATAGAAGATTCATGTAAGTTCAAATCACAATGATAATTTGGCAGAATTAATCATTAGTCCCTCACATGTATTATTAGCTTAGGACTAGAACCTTCTCCAAAAGTATAAAATATCTTTATTCTGTTTTGATTGATAGATAGATATGTAAATAGTGAATCGCATACAAATTTGAATAAACGTAAATGATTGATAAAAAAGGCTTTTAGAAATACATGTATAATGAATAATTGATATGTTATTTTCAAAATCATACATAAACATACTCTAGAATTATTTTACTTTGTTCTAAGTAATGTTACAATAATGATGTATTAAGCACATATATATCTATATTTAAGGTATCAGAGAGAAACTTGGTAAGAAAGAAAATCCGGGACTTTCTGTCACTAATCCATTCCAACTGTCACTTGAACTTGCCAGTATTGTAGAGAGTGTAATGGGAGGATCCTCTGGAGGGGTATGTTAGTGTACCAGTGTTTAACTGGAATAATTTTGGTCCTCCTCGCCGGTACCGTGCCCTTTACCATTCCAGTGTAATCAGAAAATGTGTTAATTGCCACATGGAGCACCACCCATCATCTTTTTTGCCATTAAAGTGAAATCCTAACTGTTTCTTTTTGAATTAGGATGGATATTATTAGCTTGCGGAATGTTGGTGGTTCTACTCAGGTACCCGTTTGTGCCTGAAATAATGCACAGAAGGGCACCTCAGGTCTTTCTGCACCAGTAAAGCTGGAACGTCGCCATATGACATATACTGTGTCTGTATGATGTAAAACCAAATCAAACAAACAATTAGAAATGTATTCAATTCTAGTGTTTTTCAAAGCTTTACCCCATAATTACCATTAAAACAGTTAATTTCATGTTTTGACAAGTGAAGTGCATCTGCTTAAACTGCTGTGACATCATGTGCCTAATTCATTTTAAGTGTTACAACGGTATCATAGTGTTCTCCCTCAAAACATAGCTGATTATCTTAGATGTTTCTTATAGCATGTGTATTACAAAGTCAAGATGCAACAGTTAAACACAGTTTTATATAATAATAAATATAAGTTCATTTTTATTTGTACAATTTGCAGGAAATAGTTAGAACAACAGTACCTTAGGGGGCCATCCTGTATGGGGACATGAATTTTTAAATTCACAGACATTGATCTTTCGATACCTAATGCTACAAGTTTGACTCATGCAAGGGGTATTAAATTTGTTCAGTAAGTTTGTGAGGAAGCTGCATGTGTACATCTAGCTATCTTGAACTTGCTTGTCAAACACTGGCCTAAACCTATTCTATCATCCTTGTTTTGTATGGACACATTGTAAAACAGTAGACAGTTATACATATTTTTGTAATAGATTTGAATTGAATTTCATGGAAGCTCTTGTATATACTGCGAATTCACTTATATTTGTGGGCATGAAATTTCGTGGTTTTATCAAAACGGGCATTTCCGTGGGTTCTTAAATTCGTGGATTTTCATTTTTCTTGAAAAAAAAAAAAAACTAATGAAAAGTAATCTTAAAATTAACCGTCGCGCATTTTTACTTACCGCGTGATATCACACAGCGCTTGTCAATAATCTAATCCTTGCCTCTAGGCATAACATAAAGATAGCAGTTACTGCCGATAATTGACTGCAATTAACACATTTAGATGACATGATATGCAGCTCCATTGTACACACTGCCCCTGTGATTCGCCAATGTAAACATTGCATAATTTATACGACCCCTGACACGTTTAAAAGTTTACACCTTGAATCGGTCTTACTATATTTGACAGTAACTACACGCAACATCACATCGACTGTGTAAATTTACATGCATATAAAATAATATGAGTGAATAATACGAGATTGTGTGAATATATTAATAAGTCGGCAACGTCTTTGATGTTTACGGTATAGCAGTCGCACAATTACAGATTAAAATTTTAACTGGATCATTTAAAGACGACAAAATGATGTACAATTCATCCGTTTTAGCGATTGTTTATTATTTTTTGTGTACTTTACTAATGACATTAATATCAAAAATTTCTTTAATTCTATTAACAATTAATGAGAGCAAACTGACAATTTATATTAGCGCTTATTATTGCACTGGTTTCCCATTTTTACTCGATTATGTCAAGTATTCTGGATTACACAATCAAGTAGCCTACAACAATTAAGCAGTCTATACGACTGAAATTCAGGACATATAGTCGACTTTGCTTTCAATTTTCTTAAATATTGCAAACCTGAACTATTTATAGATTTAATCTGTCACTAACCTGGTTATCTGTATACCATCATAACACAATAATCGACGGAAAAGCGGCGACGCATGCATAGAATAGAGACATGATTAGAAGTAATAGTTGGGATAAAATTTCGTGGAATCTTAAATTCGTGGATTGACCTACCCACGAAAACCACGAAAATTCGTGCCCCACGAATAATAATGATTTTACAGTAGATGATATTTTATGTTTCAGATCTACAGTTTGTTTTTCACAGCAGCCTCAAGTCAGTTACAGAAAGAGGTTACAGTACAGTCCTGGTTACAGTCAATGGTGGCTGGTATAGCTGCCATACAAAGGTTGTATAGCCATATTGCCTCTGATACTTGATTCTTAGCTTGATTTATGTTAAAAGTGATACAACACTTTTCATTTTCTGATTGTTTTGCACAATAAAAATGACCTAGAAAATCAGTGATCTAAAATTGCACATAAGTTTTTCATATAGATTGTGAATCATTTTCATCAAATGTTATATAAGTCTAGAAAAAATATTTCCAGTCCTGTCATGTTAAAAAACTTCAGTGGAGTCCTTTTAAGAAATTATATCATTTTATATATAAAGTATGCACTATTTTAGGTATGGTGGTGCTGAGCCTGGTGATAGAACAATGGTATGTTTCAATACACTTCTATCTTAAAATAAATTACCATACATATTACACACTATTTCAAAAAGGATCCAGTGATGTACAAATAACTTTTCCTTATTCTGTTTAAATCACAGGAGAGCCATTTTAACATTTTAGTTAAAGAATAGGGAGAGCTATCATACTGGCATTGGTGTCTGTGTTGCCATCACAATTTGGTCAAGTTTTTACCTGCATGTTGGTATCTCCAAAACTGTTAAAGGGAAAGGGTTCAAACTTCAAACACTTGTCCTCTGTGATTATCAAACATGATCGGCACAGGTTCTATTAGTGAGTTTATTTTTTTACAAGTTATAAGTTATGCCTCTTTTCTCACAGTCAAGTTTTGCCACATCAAATAATCACACTTGTATTGACATTAAAATACATTTTATCTTTCTTGCTTGCAAACCAAATCAGATAATATTTCAAGTGATATTATGCCCATCCAAGGATAATATTATATAGTGAATGAACAGGTGAAAGTCAAAAAATAAATTCCATAATTCCTATAAATTTTTGATTTACTTTGCATGAACGATAACTCAAATTGCAAGGAAATTTCTATAAACATTTAATTTATAAAAAGAGTCAGTGTTTTATATTTTAGGCAGATTTATATCTTTATTATTATTATTTATTTTTATTCTAAACATTTTTCAATATCAACTGTTGGTCAATCACTGTTATAATGGTCAATCTTTGAAATATATAAACAATTCATCTCAACTTGACAATGAAAAATGAGCATAATGTCGCTTTCAGTAATGTGACTGTAACTACATAAGTAAAATATAAAGAAAAACATATTGGTTAAATGTGGATAGTAAAAAAAGACTGTTGTATGGTGTATAGTTTAATGTAGTTAATATAGCAGATTTTGTTTCCCACAAGGTAGATCTATCAAACACAGTTTTCAGTTCATATTAAGTATTGACTAAATGTCAAACACAGTGTTCATTCATACTGGCATTTCAGATCAACTGCTAAAACCAGGTGTACACAAGATAACAACAATCTAGTTCAAAGTGACTTTTTGTAAATGTTGATATTTTATCAAATATACCTTAACACCTATCTGTTTTTAAAGTCCTCACCTTGGGTTTGATCAGATATAAGTTAGTCAAGGTTTAAGCTATAATCTGACTATGTTGATCCTACTTGTTTTTGTCAGTTTTGAGTACTACAGTTAGGTTGACACCATCTTATATTTAACAGTTAGATGCACTATGGGCAGCAAAGGAAACTTTTCAAGGAAAGCTAGCAGATATGTCACCTGTAGAAGCTTTTAAAGAAGCTGTCAAGGTATGTCTATGTAAGAGATGAGAGTGATTTTATGTCTGATGTGGAAACATTAAAGATGGTAGTCTTATTGTTTGTCAATATTTCAGAGACTAAAAGCACTTTTCTGCTCATCCTGGCATCAGTATAACTTTTGGTAATTATATACGAGCGTACACCAAAGTAGAGCCACTGTAAGCTAGCTGGGTAGCTTCCTCACATGAAAGAATCCAAAGTTCCTGGCGGGATTTGAACCAAATTCAGTGAGGAGCAAGTGGTTTGAAGTCAACAACATTAACTTCCACTTGGTCACCGATGCCCCAATCAACTAGTTAAAGATATTCACTTGAAATTTTAATTCACGTTGTGATCAAAGGTATGATTATATGTAAAATTAATATAAGAGGATGATAATGTTGATATTACAAAAAAAATATTTTTTTATATTTTAGGCGGGAGAAAGTGCAGCAGAGAATACAAAGAGTTTGAAAGCTCGTGCAGGACGTGCTAGCTATGTCAGTGCTGATTTACTAACAAAACCTGACCCTGGTGCTATGGCTGTAGCTGTATGGTTGAGGGCTATACAAGATACACTTAATTGATTTATAATTGCTGTCATTATTATATAAGATCAGTCACTGATCACAACATTATACTTGCCATATCTTATATCACAGACTTTTTAGCTCACCTGTCACAAAGTGACAGGGTGAGCTTTTGTGATCGCTTTTCGTCCGGCGTCCGTCCGTCCGGCGTCCGTCCGTAAACTTTTACTTTAAATGACATCTCCTCATAAACCACTAAGCCAATTTCATCCAAACTTCACAGGAATGTTCCTTTGGTGGTCACCTTTAAAAATTGTTCAAAGAATTTAATTCCATGCAGAACTCTGGTTGCCATGGCAACCGAAAGAAAAAACTTTAAATATCTTCTTTTAAAAAACCATAAGAGCTAGAGCTAAGATATTTAGCATGAAACATGTTCTAATGGACGTCTACCAAGTTTGTTCAAATAAAAGCCCTGGGATCAAAATTGGCCCCGCCCCGGGGGGTCATTGATTTTCCCTATATGCATATAGTAAAAAATTAAAAAATCTTCTTTTAAAGAACCAAAAGAGTTAGAGCTAAGATATTTAGCATGAAACATGTTCTAATAAGTGTCTACCAAGTTTGTTCAAATAAAAGCCCTGGGGTCAAAATTGGCCCCGCCCCGGGGTGTCATTGATTTTCCCTATATGCATATAGTAAAAACTTAAAAAATCTTATTTTAAAGAACCCAAAGAGCTAGAGCTAAGATATTTAGCATGAAACATGTTCTAATGGATGTCTACCAAGTTTGTTCAAATAAAAGCCCTGGGGTAAAAATTGGTCCCGCCCCGGGGGGTCATTGATTTTCCCTATATGCATATAGTAAAAACTTAAAAAATCTTCTTTTAAAGAACTCAAAGAGCTATGGCTAAGATATTGAGCATCAAACATGTTCTAATAGGTGTCTACCAAGTTTGTTCAAATAAAAGCCCTGGGGTCAAAATTGGCCCCGCCCCAGGGGGTCATTGATTTTCCCTATATGCATATAGTAACTTAAAAAATCTTCTTTTAAAGAACTCAAAGAGCTATGGCTAAGATATTTAGCATGAAACATGTTCTAATAAGTGTCTACCAAGTTTGTTCAAATAAAAGGCCTGGGGTCAAAATTGGCCCCGCCCCGGGGGTCATTGATTTTCCCTATATGCATATAGTAAAAACTTGTTGGGGGTTGGGGGGGCCTATATACAGGTGAGCGACCTCAGGGCCATCATGGCCCTCTTGTTTCATATAGTTTTGTATCAGGGTATATTTATATATATCGTCCTTTTGTCATCCAATTTATTGCCGTCCTAGTCAGTTACAATTGCTAAAATTAAGGAAGAATTAGTCACAGTATTTCTTAATGTTATGACATTATTATACAATAATAATTTTTACCTTTCATATGTTTCCTTGTAAAATCTATTAAGTACTCTTAATCTTTTTACAGTCATTGGTTCATATTTTGCCAAGAACAGTAACTCTAGTCTATTGAGTTATGATTAATGGAATTTTAGTAATTTGAAATTTTGTAATTTATTGTTGTTGATTTTACATACATGTTATGTTAATTTTCAATCTGCCTTTGAAAATTTGCTTATTTTTCTATGCTGGAAAGCTTAAAATAATTATATGGTAGCCGTATACATTCAAAGTTTTGGGGTAATGAGTTAAATAGCATTACTGTGTTTTCTTGTTGGACTTTAATGTAACAACAAATTTACATTTAACTTCTTGAATATCTTAGCTATTATCATTATCAAAACAATAGAATGACGGTTATGTGTAGGGGTCTAATCCTAGTATTTTAACTGTTTATACAATCAGTACCAATTGTGTGGTTATTTGGTCAACCATTTAGATTAAATAAAATCTTGATAAAGTGTACAAAAACCTGTTTTTACATCTAATGTCAAATTTATTTATATTTTGTTTGGTGACTTTCTATAATTTTGGTTAACAGGAAACTATTGATCTTTACATAGTCAAATTTACATGTTAACTGCAATTATAACCAGAAATCCAAATTAATTATTGTCCCTCAATGTTAGATTAAACAGAATTCATTAAAACAGCTTATTTACCTATCTGAATGGATGAGAAAAGTTGTATGTATCAACATATCTTAATTGTGTTTGCTGCCAAATTCAGAAATAATATTCTTTAATTTGTCTTTGATTCAGACAATCATACCTTTTTGTATTAAATTTATTGTGATATGTCATCCATGTAGTGTGATGTATTTATTAGTCAGCATCATTATTCTTTGTTGTTTGTGCCAAAGTATGTCTTTCTTTATTTGGGTAACTACTGGTGCTTTAAGGTATACAAATGTAATTGGAAATTTTTAAATAATATATTTGATTTGTAAATAAAAATTATACATGAATCTATATAGTAGTTGTCTTTCGTTAGTTTTCATTTCTCATTGAAGTTTTATATATGTCTTACATAAATTTGGTCACGAGTTATTCTAATTAAAGTTATAGATGTTTTAAGAAATTAAGATAGCTTTTGTGAGTAAAAGGGTAACAACAGGTCCATAATTTATAACATTTTAATTGAAATACCATTCATTCTGTCAAAACGTCAGCTGACTTAATAAAGTTCAGTATGATCTGTCAAAATAAATTGATTATGAATGCTCAGAGGTCAGTTATAGAGGTCAGATTTGTCAAATCCATGAACAGAAACAGAATCAGTTGCTTCCAAGGACTGTTGCCTTGGATATTTGTTAAATAACTATTATGTTTTATGAGCAAATGATGTGATCACTAACAACCACAATAATAGTGGGTATTCTCCTGGTCTGATTGTTGGTGTGTATTTAACTACTGCACATCAAGCTTTAACCACCTATTAGGCTTAAGATGATCATGGTTTATATGATCTAGAGTAGAGAACTTCAGTTCTACATGTACAATATAGAATTTGACAACAGTTCACTCTATCTATGCTACTGTTTTAAGATCATTATTGGGGAGCAAAAGAGGGATAAAATTACAGCGACGAACAAAATAACAAAAGCTACTCAAAGTTTTTACCCCGACAGAAATTGAAAATTGTCTTCAGAGAAACTAGAAGTGGCATCCGCTGCAGGGTGAATTATGAAATAATTTGTAACTCCCTGGAATGCTGTATAATGGTACTTAATAAATATGTAATGGTTATAACTTTTTTGCAAAAATGGAATTTGAGAAACACAACCTTCAAATATTTACAAGATAATACATCTACTGTAACAGCATTAAAGTACAAACAGCTATAATCTTGTGTTTCTTGGGTTATCTAGTGAAAACATTCTGGACATATATTTTTTAAATTGAAATCTGTATTTGCAAAGCACTATAAAAATATTCACAACATTTGGACCAGAGATAGGACAGGATAGCCTTACAGATTGTCAAATTAACAAGATATATTTTAACAAAATATTAAACATGTCAACAAGTACACATGATCAGTTTGATCTAATGGCAAACCACATGAACAAAACTATATCATTATTAAATGAAACAGTTCATGTAATGGCCTGGTGGTATTTCTAACTCTCAACACAGGAAGCATTAGTTTGAGCCCTGTAGGGGCCAAAACCTGTTTCTTCATAGGACACTAGTACTGGTTATAAGCTTCAAGCTACTTCTTTCATTGTAATGGAGTTGGAATATGCTTAAACTAACAAGGGACTCAACTACTTGTTTCTTAAGGAAGTAAGTGAACATCTTACAGCTGTCTTCATTAGTAGGATTTCATCCAACATTACAATTCCCAAGATATGTGTGAGGACACAATCATGCTTATGCTTCTATGATAAATGGCTTAATTTTTAAACAAAATGAAACTCCAGTGTGAGAGATAACCCAATTATGCTTCAAGAGGAATTCAATTTGAAAGCATTTTAGTTCAGTTTACTTGGTTGTACGTGAGAAAACTAATGGAAACTTGCTGTTGCTCATAAAAGTACATGCAGTACAATCTCTACAGAGCAATACCCTTTTGCTGGGAGATAAAAGTTTATAATGAAGTCTGACTTTGGAAATTTTTTAAAAACTGTTGTGTAGAGGTAATTGCTCTACAGAGGGCAGCTCTTCAGATGTTACATTGCATATATCAACGTCATAATACTAGTTATGTAGATGGGACAGATGGACATAGTCAAATCTACTTGTGTATCTATCTGCATATAACAGATAAAGCCAACAACCCAATTGAGCTAAGATCAAAATATTCATATAATAAATTCAAAACAACTACAAATGTGTAAGACACAGATGCCCTAATATTTCACTATTTTGTCAGTCTATAGAAAGAAAGTGATAGTAGGACAGTTGGACAGATCTAAGTTGGGGCATAAAAACACAACAAGCGACATGGATAAAATGATTTTATTTTGTATTTAAATTATGTCATTCCTTCACTAAGATTATGAATGTAACTTTACAGCAAATAACTACATGTAGTGTGAATTGACTTAACCAGCTTCCTTTCAAACAGACAAGAAAAATAAAACAACTTATATAGTACGGTACAAGCAGTGAATCTCAAAAACAATAGTAGACAGGCAACACAGCTGACTGGTTGAAACATTCGAGTATTAGTTTATTTCATCTGTTTCAATTTCATTTTTTAGTTTATTGCTTTTACAAGGACCTTGAATATAAAATGATATCTTTGGTTTGTTTGTAAAATAGTACAAGTAAATGAAAGAGAATTTTGTAGGAATAAAACACTCAATGTTTCAAGAGATAGCCCGTTGTTAATCTGTTGTAACAAAATTTCAAAATTGTTTCTTACACAACATAAGTCAGTTGATATAAAACTAGAAAATGAAGATTATACTGTTACAAGGTAATTTAACAAATCTATAACATCTCCCTATCTACCACAGTTTCACTGATTCATAATTGCACATAAAAAAACCTCTAAATAAATAATTAATATGATTTTATAAAAAAAAAAGTGGCTTCTTACTTAATCTATTTATTTCAAAGATCTACTGTAGTCTGTGGAATTCTAAAACAACTTGTTAATACACACTGCTAGAAAGCTGGATATTGAAAGAATGATCTGGTTACACAGGAACTAGTTTTTACCTATACAGAAATGTAATAATGGTATATAAGTAATCCAACTGGTCCACTAGGTGAACTATTGCTTGGATTAATATTATATCTAAAACATGGGGTTCTATACATAATAGGCAAGTTTACAGTTACATGCAGCCTAAGAAGCATCACACTCGCAATTATAATTTAGCATCAATTAAATAAAACACATGAACCAGTTGAACAACTTATACATTAAATGGACTTTCTCTACATGGCAGATTAAAAAATAACCATAAGTTAAGTTAGAATGGTAATTTGAAAATTACTGTAAAAAAACATTTTCAACAGATATGGTAATAGAATAATTACAACTATTACATAAATTTGAGTTTTCATTAGTTACACAACGCTTTTTTAACTTGTAATGATTTAAGTAAGGCTACAGGTGTATGGGGTGAGAATATTTTGTTAACCAGTCTCGAAGAACAAAATCTCGGAGACATATTATCTAATACATAAACTGTACAATAAAATCAATATTTAAATCCTAAGACATAAACAATGATAAATGTTATCAGCATTACACACTATCTCTCATGAAATGGTTGACTATATAACGTTATCATAGTGATATGCTTGTGCAATATGAGGATATATCATTTTATACATTAAAAGTCACTCTCATTATGGGGAAGGTTAGTCACCGTGATAATATATAGCACAGAATTTAATTCATCATTTCAAAAGGGAAAAAATAACCCTCTCTTGTCACTGAGTGTAAAACAAGTTTCCAAAACATTGGCCATTTCAATACACCTGTAGCAGGAGTTCCATGACAAACCCTTTATCTGAAAATTGCTTTCGTATCACATTTTCAATGCAACAAACTCCGTTCAATAAAAAAAATTCACAGTCACACATAAATAACAAGATGCACTTCTAAATGAATATACTAACAAAGTCTTAAAATAAATTACAAGTGTTTGTATAATATGGAAATAATTAAGAGAAAAGATCCAGAAGATTTTATACTGCTTCTAGTATTGCATTGTGTTAGCTGGTATAAAATACTATCACCATGTGATTATTTACTTGTGTCTACACTCTGCTATCAAAACAGTGAGAGCCATATTTTCTAATCAATTTTGTATGCATTTGTCAATATATACACTCTGCTAACACCATATAATTTTACACAAAACTTACATCTGAAATTTTTGTTTTTCGTTAACAACATATACAGTAGCTATGTGTATATGACTAATATACACAGAAAAATGATCATTAGAAAAAAAACAAATATCCACAGTTAGTATATAAAGTGAAAATGATTTGCCACACAAATTTCTTCATGTGCTGTATTAAATAAATATACAGAGTGAACATTACAAATGATTTAATATTGGACATAGTTTGTTAAAATACTTTAAAAAAGAGGACTCCTTTATTTCCATAATTTTTAGGTTATTCTTTACTTGCATATAATATACCAACATAACTTACCAATATGAAAACAGATCCCTTTCTTCTTTTGTGCCATGTCATATATTATAAACAATGTTACCAACTTTCTTTATAATAATGTAGAATCATCTACTACTTAGAGTTGTATATTCACCTTCTACTTAAGTCATAGATTTACCTACTTAATATTAAAACGTGTAGAGCTGAGAGATGCAGTAACAGAGATGAAATGAAATGAGATGTTTTCAAAAATATACAATGTCTATAACATAAACCAAGAAATCCATCTTTTCTTGAACACAGTCTCTAACACATCTAAAACAAGATTTTTTTTTAAAAAAGCCAAACAATCAATAGGTTATATAGATGTTAAGTCTGTCAGACACATTCAGCAAAATTAAGAGAAACAAAAAACAACTTGTATATAAACTAAACAAAACAGATGGAGGCTTGCCAAGGACTTTTATATATTGTAACATTTCAATATTTTCTTGTAACATTTCATTTTTTTTTACGAACCTATGCCAAGTTTAAACCTTAAACTTATCTGACATGGAAAACCTTGTATATTCAAGAAGTAAAAAATATATTAAAAAATAGGAAAATCAAATTTAAAAAGAAAAAAACAAATAGGAAAAACTACAAAACTTGAAATGCCATTTTTCAGCATCACAACAGAATGCTCTGAAAAACCTGTGACTTTGTGGAACACATGAACACCTTGGTTATAAGATGATTAAATCCAAGTCACAGTGCCTGTCCAGTCCAAAACTACAGTCTAAGTCACAGTGCCTGTCCTATAGTCTAGATTGGGGATTATTTTAGATGTTTTTGTTTTATGTTTGTCTTATATTTCCTTCATTCAAACATGTAAATTAAGAGCAGCAGCACAACAACCTTAACTTGACTGTGTGACCTAGCAGCTCCTTATAATATCACCCCAAATCTACAGCAAATATCAATGACACATGGTAACTTGGACGGAAAACAAAACAACACTAACATTTTCGCAAGTGATTTTTTATGAAACAGATTTACCAAGAAATATCAAATGAAAGTCCTATGATAGAGAGTATGCTACCTCAAAATAAATTATGGAAAATAAAGAGTTGTGGATAGTTTAATAATGAGAAATATATGTATTTAAAAGAATATATAGAATTCTAGTTTATAAAATAATTGCTACATCTGTGCTTTACTCAATACCCTGTCATAAAACTTCACTTTTTCATCGCGATACTAACTTCTTCCTTTACTGCAACTGTATATGTATCCATGTACCTACTTGTTCTACCTACATCCAAAATTTATACTGTACAAAAATAAATACTTCCATTATATGCTTCATAATTTATTGCCTTTAAACATCTTGATCACATACTTGCAAAACTTTGAGAAACATAATCTATTTAATTAAAAGTTTATCAATTAATGTCTTGACAAAATTGTTAAAAAAACAAGAGAAAAGCTCCTCTTTGGTTTGTATTTATGATAACTATGGTACCCAATAGTTAAGAGTACCGAATTTCTTCTTGAACACATTACACATGTAAAACACACTTCCATACACATAAAAAGCACTTCACTCTGTGAGCTATTTATTTTGCCTTAAAAAACAAAAACAATATCTTACTATTAATTTTTTTTTTTGAAACTAAAAACAACAAAAAGCAACTATAATTATTGAATTATTGAAGTATTAGGTTCATCTGACAGTCAAGATTACTGTGTTTCTAGGCACAAACCCCTTCCTTCGTACTCTTGTTTACCCCTTCCTTCGTACTCTTCTTGACTTTGATATTAAACTCCCACATTTCTGTAAACCCTCCATTTATCAATAATCATAACTTAGGAAGTTTTCTACACTAATGTACCATCTTTCAATCTGCCAATTATATCATAATTAACAATGTGTTACCAACTTCCCAACCAGCAAAGTAAACCATACTTTATGGCAGTCTTGAAGCTTACTGTAGTCGTGTTAATTTAGCTGATGTTATTTAATATAAATATACCTATCAGTAACTACAAAATGCTTTGAAGAATTTCATTATGGTAGTGAAAATGTGAATTTTAAGTGCAAAAATAAAACAAAGTAATTTGTTCCATAGATTCCTTAAAGTAATATAATTAATACTAGAACATTAACAACAGAATAAAATTATAACATAGTGTTAACTACATACTACAAACTTGATGTTATAAGCACCAGAATGTACAATTTTATCAGGGTATTTGTATTATATATGGCATGAAACTACCGGTATATTTCCATTCATACTGTCAGTCAACCTCTAGTTAGAAACAAATGAGTGTAGATATCTCTGGTGGAACATCACACAACCATCTAATATATACATGTACAAGAATAAGAATCATGAGACAAGGTATAGTAGAACTTCAGCACAACATTTTATCTTTTTTTTTTCCAAAACAACAAACTCAACACAAGAATATCATAATTACATGGCAAATTATCACCAGTTTTATATGTAAAAATTTCTTTTGCAGTTACAACTTTTGATGAGAATCTATACACTGATGTCTATATGTAACAGAATGTCACTAAACAATGATACACCTGTATAAAAAAAATTGTCATATCCAATACATTATCATAATCCTGTGCAAAAGCTCTATTTGTTATTTCCCCTATCCCTCAAGTTGTATACAGTCTCTTGTTAGTCAATCTGTTGAGATATGTAGTTCTCATCTACTTATTTACATATGTACACACATATATATTATACATATATACATATGTAATACACTTTTATCTTTAAAGTGGAGATTTTTCCTCAGAGCCAGCAACGGGTACTTTATACTTAGCTTTTTCTGTCAATGACAATGCCCATCAGTCCTTTGCAGCACACACAAACGGACAGACAAACAGGCACACTCATGCAGTATTACGACTTTACGTTATTCACCAGTTTGTTTTGGTTTCCACCTTTAACTTCAAGCCCTTCTAACTTTTTCCATAAATCTTCACGGTCTTTTTCTTTCTTTTTTTCCCTGAAAAAATAAAAATTTAGTTTACATCAAGTATGTAGATATTAAAATATCTCTACTGTTTATAATATATATATTATTTATTTAAAATGATGTATATTGATAAACAATAGTCTCTAAATATTACTTTCACCAGCTAGAATTTGGAAGAAGCTTGAACTTTTTAGTCTTAGCTGTACTGGGATCCTACATTACCGGACAAAATATGATGTTTTTTATCTGTAACTTTTATTTAAAATAGTAAAAAATTATTGAATTTTACCTAAATAACTTTGGGTTCTTAATAAACATTACTTTATCAAACATGAAATTAAACATTTGACCGTTGAAATGTGTCTTTAAAATAGGGAATTATAAGAGAAAAAAATTGTGTAGCCAACTCAATTTACCGGACATTGTTTCAAAATTTTTTGAAGTCGTGAATTGAAATTAATCTTTAAATAATCAGCAAGGAAACTACGACTATTGAATGGCAAGTTTAAGATATTGGAAAATCCCAGTATGTCACTAGAAATAGACACGGCAGCTATGCCTGTTACAAAGAGGCCAATATATGGGGTGTAATTGAAATTAACACTATTAACTCAATTAACATATTGATTCTTCATGATCCTTAAACGTATGAAACATTTTGATATTCAAATGGAATTCTGTTCTTTGTCATACAGTTTCCTTTTGGTCATCATGTAGCATGTTACAAAAGCCATAAAATCTATTTTATTTCAATTCATGTAGAGTTTCCTCCCATGGGCATAACCCGTTTCCTTATATGTTTTTTAATTTGCATTTCTTTGTAAAAGACATCGAGATACTGTTTAGACTAAATTTCAAATTACTTTTTATCATTAAAATATGTTACGATTGTCTCCTGAGAAAAAATTAAAAGTAAAACCTATCTAAAATTACCCATTAAGGGCCTCCATATTCGGGCCTGCGCAGAACAGATTATTTCCCGCATGACCAGGTCATGAAGTAACTAGTAAACAAAAGGGTATGTTAGTAGATAAAGAACTGAATCAACAATATTACCCGAGAGTGGTTTTGTTGTTATTTACTTTGAAATAGAAAGTGTGTCTACGATTCAGACTGTATGATTTTTTAATCGAAGCAAAAATAAAGCACTATTCAGCAGGAATAGCTTTTGTCCGGTAATCTGATTGTCCGGAAAATATATAGGATCCAACTAGTAAGGATAATAGAAGTCTAAAAAGTATAAAAGTTTGTCTAAAATGATGCCATTTTGATTTCAGTATTTGAATACAGAGTTCATCAATTGGCTATTCCAAATTCATACACTGGTAAATCTATAACAGTACATACAGCATGGTAATGATGAAACCATAATAACTGATATGCTGAATGGCTTAACCATTATTTATTTGATATGTCTTTTAAAAATCTATCAAATACAACCATAAACATACATCCATGACAACAGCGACCTTAATTTCAAGGATAATCACCATTATTTAACAACAACAAACATAAGCAGATTATATACAGATATTAATTTAAGGAAAGTAAAAAAGATAATATAAGGTGCATACTTCTGTCTCTCAGATTTGTAGTTTGCTGTCAGATCATCAAACAGTTGACTATTCATTTCCATAAAGGTTTTAAGAACATTATAGACAAGTGCAACAATGGTCTGGTTCCAGTGCTCCTTGGAGATCTTGTAAAGGGCCGGGAACATGATTGGCAGGATCACACGAGAGTTCTCCTCTATAAGACTCATGATGTAGTCATTGTTCCAGTAGTACAATGCCCTTTCTGCTACCTAATTTATAGAAATCATCACTGGTTTAAATGGTGTATAAATATGGTAGAAATTTTGTTGAAATAAATCTCCTGCTATAAAGTAAGTAAACTGAAATAAAATTCCTAGTCAGACAAGATCATTATAATTAACCAAGCTTTTCTATCAAAAATATGCATATAAATGTTATCAGTTCTCATCAAATCTTATGATCAGTTTAGTTTATTTTATACTAATTTATTTTAGTTCTATTGTGTTGGAAGCTATAAGCTTATTGAAACAATCATATCTGTTCCTGACTGGAACCAACCAGTACTCAGCAACATGTGTAAAGTTTCTTGCTCACGGAACCAACGGCTTGCCCATGTTATCTCAGTTCTCATCTAACCTTATGAATAAAATGTCTGATAACAGTCTTTTTATAATGATGTACAGGCATCATTCTTAAGATGGTTCTGCTCTAACAAATCTGTCACATAAAGATCAAAAACTTTGAAAGACCTGTTCACCAAACATTATGAAAATTGCATGAATGAACAAAATATCTATAGGAACCATCCATAAAAGTTGCCAGTTTCATAAATGACATGATTAATAATGAGACCTATTTGCATTCATAGGCTAGATCACACTTATCTATTGTAGTATGTTTGGGTATTAGACATAATTTTTTTCTTGACAGATAAAAAATGTAAATGTTCTACAGTTTATTCAACTGATTGACTATTGAAGTCACTGTTACTGAATACTGTAATAACTGTTTTACCTGAAAATGTGGACTTGACACACAGCGAGATATTTGTCTAAACAATGGTTCCATTATCTTCTGAAACTGTGTTGGTTCTATAACATCCAGTATTTCCTCTATCTCTCCCAGAAACATCACCTATTTATCACATTTATTGTTAATTTATATATCACAAATTTAAGGACCTTGCATACACTTAAAATAGTCCATTTCACTACAAATTTGGAAAAATAACCTAAACTTAATTACTTTGGCAATACATCTTTATCATATGTAAAAAAAAACTTTCATCAAATATATGTTCAGAGACTTATTGAGCAACATAAGGACACCTAATATGTTATAATACATTACATTATTTTTCAAATAAGCTTAAAGCACCCCTTCAAATCTGGTCCGAGATTCAGACAACTTTTAAGCTGACTAAATTTCATGATAGCTTGTATGAAACACATAATTCAGAACAAATATATTTGAATCTTAAAATATTTAATTTCACAAAGAAACTTTTACAAAATCATAAAAATTCATGATCTTGTATTGGAAAATTTTTAAAGTAAGACTGAAGTTATACCTCTTTTTGACTACAAGTTTTCGGCCAGAACTTTAGCAGACCTTTTATAACCTGTAATAAAGGAAAAAGAAAGATAACATCAATAAAATCATGTAGTTGTATTATTTGAATAAAGTACATTAGATCAACAATAAAATCTTTGTTACTTTTAATCACATTGATTGTACTACATGTGTTTATATGTGTAGTTTTGTAATTAATAACTCCCACCAGGCAATCCTTTTAGTGGTTTCATTTACATTTACCAATATTGGAACTAACACTACTTCTCCCAGACATTTCATCACACCATCTCACAACAGATAAATCAATGTACATACAGAAATATTTACATTGTAAATTGAGACTAACTGTTTAACAATATAAATAACAAGAGCTGTCGGTAGGACAGCACGCTCGACTATTCTAAGTGCTTGATAGTAAAAGAGCCCTGATAATGTTAATTTTTTAAGATCACAAAAGGTCTAATTTTTTTTTAATAAATTTATGTTATAGGCCTTAGAGAGAGTCTAATTATACAGTATTGGCTTGACTATTCGGAAGGTAATGTCACAAGGTTGTTTAATTGAGTATAATAATACTAATTACCTATGAATACATAAATTTGACAGAAAAGGTACGAAGGCTTCTAATTAAGATGTTTTATCAAGTAAATCACTGCTTTATTATTTTGAATGCATAAAATTGTCCCAAAAAAAGGCACAAACCCTTCAGTAGTAATTGAGATAACAGCTTACAAACAAAACTTTACCATGAATTTCTAAGTTGAAAAAGGGGAGAAAAATCAGCCTAAATGCAAGATAGAATTATGGATCTTTGTCAGTGACCTACAATTATGACCCTAAATGCATATGTGAAGTTTTAAATAAATATCTTTAATAGTTATTGAGATATGTAAAACTTGCATGTAAACATTAACCAAGAGACTAAGTAGAAAAGGGGATATGAATCAGCCTTAATGCAAGATAGAGTTATGGAACTTGGTCAGTGACATACAATTATGACCCTCCAATTATGACCCTAAGTGCATGTGTAAAGTTTCAAGTAAATATCTTTGAAGACCTTTAACCTTTAACCAAAATTTCTAAGTTTCAAAGGGGCAAATAATTCTTCAAATTTTGCAGGCAGAGTTATGCAATTTTGCAAACTGATGTACATTGTTACTATAAAAAAGTATTTTAAATTTCAATTGAATATCTCAAGCAATAATTGAGATATTTGACTTTACAAAAAAACTTTAACCAAAATTTCTAAGTTCCAAAGGGGCATAATTCTGTCAATATTGTAGGCAGAGTTATCCAACTTGTCAATCTGATGTACCTTGTTACTATAAATAAGAATTGTAAGTTTCAATTGAATATCTCAAGCAATAATTGAGATATTTGACTTTACAAAAAACTTTAACCAAAATTTCTAAGTTAAAAAGGGGCATAATTCTGTCAATATTGTAGGCAGAGTTATCTAACTTGTCAATCTGATGTACCTTGTTACTATAAATAAGTATTGTAAGTTTTAATTGAATATCTCAAGTAATTATTGAAATATTTGACTTTACAAAAAACTTTAACCAAATTTTCTAAGTTAAAAAGGGGCATAATTCTGTCAATATTGTAGGCAGGGTTATCAAACTTGTCAATCTGATGTACCTTGTTACTATAAATAAGTATTGAAAGTTTCAATTGAATATCTCAAGTAATGATTGAGATATTTGACTTTACAAAAAACTTTAACCAACGCAGACGCGGACGCTGACGCCGACGCCGGGGCGACTACAATAGCTCTCATATTCTTCGAATAGTCAAGCTAAAAATTATATTTAAATATTATAAAATTTATTCAGAGTGTCATAATTGTTACATTCTTTCTACATGAATTAATAACCATTAATAACAATTTTTCATTACTTCTCAGCCAAATTGATAAATTTAAAACTAATCTTTATAATACTTTTATTTCAAGCCCTATACAATATATTATAGTATCTATAAACCATATTAATAAAGACTGATATATGTAGTGAACAAAAAGCACAGCAAGAGGTGGTCTATAATAAATATATGTATTTCTTAGGTTGGTATATTATCACTGCATATGATAGGGTGAATAATTTTCCCTGATTTCTGTCACTGGATATATAAAACTATCACTTGTGATGTTTAGGAATAAATTCCACTACAAACTTGTTATAAAGAATCTAGGACAAATTCCACTCACTATTTCCGCAACATTAAATATTTCTAACTTGTGCCTCGGCACATGTGGCTTTTTAAAATAAATATGATCATTTTTTTTTTACAGTTCAGCATGAAAAAAAATGTATTTCCTCAAAATATTACATTTACTATGTTATGCTATTTCGTTAACAAGAAATGAGCTTATACAAGAATTACAAATGTTTACTCGATATTCTTATTGAAAGAAAACAGATTGTTGAGTATTACATAATAATTAGTAGACTGTGCACTGTGCCTTTTGTGCCTTTGCACTCACACTTGCTGACAATATGAACATTAAGATATTACTGAATCTGTCATGGTTCAAAAAGCAAGTTACACCAAGAAACTTGCATATCTCAGATCTTTATCATGGTCTAAAGAACTTTTTTTTGATCTACTTAAACAAAGGCGGATCTGATTCATACTTTGAACCCCTTAATTTATGATATATGATACATTATACGTTATAATAACACATGCTATATCTCTACACATTCTCTATCAATACTTACATCTTCAGTTAAACTTGGATCTTTTTCTAGAAACTGTACCACACAATAGGCCAACTGTAAAATATACAAATACAAAATAAACATAGTTTTCTATCAGAAAGAGACTTGTCAGGATTTATAATAATTAAATGGTTTACCTATTAAAAACTGTTAAAAATACAGACATCTGCACTTTAAAGCGAGTTGGGCTACTAGTAACTAAGCAATTTTCACTGTTAATTGAATTTTTTACTAGCCCAAGAGAAACTCTATTAGTAGTGCAAATTTCTACTACTGTTCAAACCGTTATTACTTTAATCAAATTATCTGAGAGAGACAGAACAACAACAAAAATATCTCAACAAGGAGATAATAATTTCTAACATTAAATGTACAAATATCAATATAATGTTTATCTATGTGATTGATTGTTTTTATTGATTTTTTTGCTGAAGAAGAATTGCTAAAGTTGTGCTCTGTCAGGACAAATGGAAATATGTTCTAAAAAGATATTAAAAATCATAAATTCTGAATAAAATAATGGGGATATTAAAAATTAATGTTTATTTAAATGTAACTGATCAAATTAAATTTCAAAAATTTAAGTCTGTAAGGAAATACAAATAAAATAGGAATGAACAAATGAAAAAGTAATAATAGAAAATATTCAATGAAACAAGTGAACAAACTTTTAAACAAAACAATATCCAGACCTGACTTCTACACTATATTGAAACATAACAACATTTAAAATCAGTTAACACTGCAAACTGTCATATCATAGTGCGATTATTGCAAAGTTCAAATAATCAATGTATACTGAAGAACATTGGATAATTGTAATTTCCTGTCCATTTATAAAAGTTTCAGGACATATTATACATTCCAATAATTTTAATAATTAACTTGCCAATTGTTAAAAGAGTAAAAAGAGCTTTCTCTTACAGACTTAAACTGCAGATAAGTAAGGGGAGAAAAGAACACCTTTTTAAAATCTATATAAGAACATTTTCATTAACACTATAAGTCAATCCTTAATATAATTTGAGGCATTTGAAACAGTATCAATTGAAACATTATACATTTAAACATACATAGTTTAGTTAAAGGCAAGATATATTTACCTGTGCATGATATAAACTCAGACTTTTAGCTTTATGTAGTGGTATTAAAACCTTCATTAAAAATTGCTTGTGTTCAGACTTCAATGGTAATGCAAATCCATTGATAATGCTGAAAACAGAAAATAAAGTAGATAAATAATAAATATTATTCCATAACATCTATAATTTCCTTGCGTTTTGGCAAAAACAATACAATTTTATATAGAGAGTTGTGTGAATCTGTTTATTCTCTCAGTCTAATATTTTATTAATGGAATATCATAATCTTACTAAAATTTCAATGGCTTCCTTCAAAGTTTGATATACTTAAAAATGTTTCCTAATCTAACAAGTACTGACATTCCCTTAACACCAACCTGTTTGTTCTGAAAACCTACCATTTTTCATACCACTTGTATCAAAATCTGCAAATGTTGGACCACTTTTAAAGATTATTTGGACCACGTTGAACAATTACATGAATAAGTTGTTCTTTGTTTAAATGTGATTAAACCATCTCTACCAAATACACTTACCTGCCTAAAATCTCTAATAATTCTCCAACACCATTGAAAGATTCAGTTTCATATATAAACCTGAAATGCAAATCATTATTTATAATAAAATTTGTCATCAACAGCAATAGGGGGCTTTTGTCACAAATTGACAACAGCCATACACCACATAAAATACCAGCTGTTTACTTTAAGACACAGAACAATCCAGCCTACATAAAAACTTTTATAGGTACTTTTTTAATATAATTTATTACTTGTTTTAACATTAATATTTACTAGGCAAAATCTAAGTTACAATGACTATTTTATGGTTGTATGATAATATTTAAGTTTAAACTAGTGTAGTAACTAGTAAGACCCCGAGATGCTCCTCTCTGTGCATTGTATGAAACATGTAAGTTTCCGGGTAGAACCACTGGCAATAAATGAGCTAGTAGATAGCTTCCATACTTAGGAGAATCCGAAAAGTATTGGAGAAACAGGCACTGACAAAGTGATAATATATGGTGATTGTTTGTCTATGACATGTCATTATCAATCACACAAATATCTCACAAGCTAAAAATATCAAACAGCATTCACTAAATCTAGACCACAGAAAACTATAAAACATACCTAAGAAATATATTATTAATTTGTTTCCTAATGAAAGCTCTTAAGCCTAAGAATTTCCCATATATCCGGTGAAGTACAGTTTTAAGAAAATCCCTTTCTCTTGGATCCTCACTGTCGAACAATTCTAACAACTGAAAAATACATACATCATATAAGTAACATAACATACTGTATGTTTTAATAAATTCAAAATAATGCTTCACACAAACATGTATCAGTTCAACAACAAGGTGGGAGATCTTGAATAATTCTAAGAATGGATCTTCAAGGCCTTTACATTCATCCATCCAAAAAATAGCCAAAAAGAAATCTCAAATGAAATTTTAATCTCAAAATAAGTGTTATCAGATTTACTTCCAAACTCATCTAAAGTAATAACATTAAAGTTTAGAGAATTTTAAGTGAGGGACATTAATTTAAATCAACATTTAAATAAGTCAAAGCAAATCTCATTGGAAGTCCTCCAGGACTTTTAGGGTATTTCTAAAGACCAAGTTCAATTAAGTGGCTTTTTAAGGTCAATGCTTGAATATTTAAGGCCTGTATGAACCAAGTTCTCAAATATAACTGTCTGGTTGTCAATATATATACCGGTATTTATGACACCAACACATTAAGAGCATCACTTCAACAATAATGTCATCTAAATAATTTACTACTCAGACACAGTATATAACAAGATCTCTTTGTGCAATAAGAACAGCACCAAACATATGTCTATGTTAGGATAATAAGTACACGGAGGACATTTAAAACAGTAATAGTCGAATGTCTGTCATGTCGAGACTGTAGAAACATACAGACCGTCCTATAATTATTCCTGTAATGAGTCTCTGATGGGAAATTAACACAACAAGATGTCAGCCTATACTTACTTGTAGCACAAACTTTTGATCAATAAACTTTTTTGCATGGCTTGGTTGAAAGTCAGGAGATTCAAGGAACCGTAGAAAGAACTCATACACAATCTGTAATAGGAAAGATCATAATTAAATTCACAATTAAAAGTAATGAGGAACACTGGGTACTTAAGTACTTAACCTGTACCAAATGACATTGCTCTCTTGACTGAGTTAAACCTTCTCCCTTCTTTTCTATGATATCACATGTCATTTAAAGTTTTGGTGCTAAATGATAGATTCAGTCTAAACATGATAATCAACATATTGATCTTTTAATCTAGATATAACAGCATCAACACAAATACCATAAAAGGTTCACATTTTGCTGCTGCAACAACAATAACTTTGCACTAAATAACAAGATTGAAGAAAACAAGCCATTATCTAGTCATCAATGCTTTCTAAGTCCATATATTTTATCTCAGCTTGTCTAGGCTGTATAATGTATGAATCTCTGATACTTTTTAACAGCTAATTATCCCAGTGTTCATAAACAACTCTACATCATGTACTTCTTTGACAAATAAATTATAATTTTTTAAAGGAATTCAAAGATGATTATAACCATTATTTGCAAAAGGTATTTTGGGGCAAATTATGTATGAAAGGATTTCCCCAAATAAAAGGGACCATCACCATTTCCCTCAGACTGTAAAAATCGCTGATTTAGTTTCATAGAACTGATAATTACATGTGTAATGTCACAAGTTGCTATTCTAAATACCAGCTAATAACATAGCTCAATACTTATATTTATGTATGACCTAATTGCTCATTTCATACTTAACTTTGTCAATACAAATTTACAGACATGGTAATACTTAAACATTTGATAATGCAACGTCTTTGTAAAGAAACACTATATTTTTGTCAAACAATGCACCTAAATACTCATCCAAAA